TTCGTTACCGTCGCACAGAAACGCCCAGTGACTGGCAGGCAGGCTGGAGGTTTCTGCAGCCAATGCTGCACAAATGCAATTGTAAGTGAATCTTGCAGCTAAAAGTCACCAGTGTTTCTTTTCCTGGAAAAACCCTGTTCTAAGTTGGCAGCATAACAAGGCTGAGATGGCACAACATGTGGCTGCTTATGGGTAACACGATCAGCGGTACTGGTAAGTGAGGGCACTCCCGTCCAGTAGAAGTCCCCTGGAATGTAGCTGCTCCCAACAGAAGAACGCTCAGCATCTCCAAGCAGCTGCTTCAAGACAGCTTTGTCCCCAGGTGCAACTCTGCACCAGGCAGCGCTGCTCACTTGCAAGCAGTGCCTGTGGGTTGGGCAGCACTGCCCCAACAGCACTGGGCTGCTTGGAAAGGAAAAACAAAAAGCAAACCTTTTCTTTTGGTCACTCAACCATGAATGATTTAGCTGCTATTAAGAGCACAAAGCCAGAAATCGCCTTCTGCAGTCCTGCTGCAGCTTGTTGGGAACAGTGGAGCTCCAGGAAAAAAAGAGGAAAAATGAAAGAGAAGTCTGGCCTGGCAGGGCTGCTGGCGCCACTATGTACAGCCCACGGACCGACTGTTGGAAGGAGAACTTGCAGTGCCCAGTGCCCCAACTGCTCCTTCTGCAGTGGCAGTGTGAAGGAAGGTGAATTCAGGGAGCAGTTCTGTAATGTTCCTCATACCGAGTGGGAAGACATCCGGGGCAGCAGTTACGCTGTTACAGCCCGTAGAACTTGATCTCAAGTGCTCTTGCTCACAAGGGCTCCCAGGCAGTAAATGCCACCCGTGCCGTGACTGCTGGGGACCCACTGGGCTGCAACTGCCAGTCCTCAACCGCCATCTGTAACACGGATGGATGCTCTCTGTCATTAGAACTCATCTGCCATCCTCGGGGTCTTTGACACTGAGTTGCTGAGGCAACACAAAAAGCTAATAAAACCCTGAAATTGCGCAGGGCTCTTTGCTGAAGCCTAACATTTCCTTGTCAACTATAACTGATATCTACTATTTCTGATGTATTACTGCCACACGCTGTCATACGGCTGTGCTCCTACCTGACTGCAAAGCAGACGCACACACGTGTGGTACACAGCATGTGCACACTGAGATTTCTTGTGTCTTGCTCTATGTGGGCAGCAGCACCCCAACCACTGGAAGGAAAACCCTTCCCAGCAAATTGGAACGTCCTTAAGAATCTTTTGGAATCTTTTGCAGCCAACTTCCAGGCACTCAGCAGTTTTTGCTCTGTGTGCAAACCCATTTAAGGTCTTGATTGCGATGTTTTCAATGTTGGCACTCCGTCGCGTTGTGCAAAACAAAGCAATTACAGGGCTCCTGAGCCGCACTGAGTTCTGTCTCCTCTGGCTTCCAGAAGACAGAAGAGTTTTGCCATGACTGATGGCACGTTATGCACATAGTAGGCAACGACATTTCTCACACGCAGCCTAGATAGTTCAGTGCAGCTGAACTGCTCGGAGCACTACAGTCTTCTTGTCTCCTTCACAAAAGTCCTAGGGAACTCTGTTTGTGTCACCAATAGTAATAAACTCACACCCACTGAGAAAGGAAAGATCTTCCCTTCTGCTTGCTCCCTCTATTTGTACATGGGGGGCACATGTAGCTCCTCACGACTCCCAGCTTTCTTCCCTTTTGTCAGCAAATGGCAAGGTATTCTGAAGTGCCGGGCTGTTCAACAACAAGTGTGTGATACACGTTTTGGAGAGGGATTGCAGATGCCGGGAGAAATTAGCTCTGCCCCTCGTGCTGCACTGAATGACCAACAGTGGAGCTG